GGGCCATCGTCGATGCGACGACCATTGGGCTCCTCCACCCCGGTCGCACGGCGCTGCACTTCGCCGCCGCTGAACGGTCTGAAGCGGGCCCCAAGATGGTCAAGGAACTGCTCAAAGCCGGCGCCCGACCCAATATCTTTACTCGAAGCGGCGGCAACACCGCGCTGCATTACGCCATCGACGGCCGCTCCGTCGAAACGGTCACCACACTCCTGGCCCACTCCGCCGACCCCAACGTCACCAACAGCAGCGGCATCACCCCTCTCCACAAAGCGGCAGGGGTCCCCGGACTAGAAGCCCTCGTTGAAGCCCTTCTCAAAGGCGGCGCAGACCCCAACCGCAAGACAACCGTCGGCATGGGTCTGGCCGCGAAGGGTCTCGCGGCGTGGAAGGCTTCCAAGACCCTCATCGACACCTACCACGCCATCAACACGGCACAGACCGCCCTCCACATTGCCGTGAAAGTCAAGGACGCGGAACGGACCGTCGACGCACTGCTCGCCCACGGCGCCGACGTGAATACCCGCGACAGCGTCGGTCAGACGCCGCTCCATATCGCCGTCGTCGGCATGGACAGCGAGGTCATGACGAAGCGGCTGATCGACCACGGGGCGGACGTCAACGCCAAGGACGAGGAGCACCGCACCCCGCTGCTCCTGTTCTTGCAGACCGCCGGGGCGATCGCCCATGAGCTGCTCGCCCAGGGCCAAGCGGAGCTCCTTGCGGATCTGGATGGCCAAGCCTCGTGGGAGCGAACGGTAGAGCTGCTGCTAGACGCGGGCGCGGATCCGTCTACGGAGGGGAAGAACAAGGTGACGCCACTCATGTTCGCGAAGATGGCTTCGATGGGCTGGGCGGTGGAGATCATCGAGCGGCGGCAGAAGAGTGAGGAGAAGGAGCCAGACGTCGAGACGAAGGAGGTCTCGGAGGAGACTGCTGCTGAGCCGCAGGCGGAGCAGGAAAAGAAGGGTTTTCTACAGAGTCAGGCGAGTAGGTTTGTGCCAAAGAAGTTTAAGTGGTAGTTTTTGCTGTGTGTGTGTTTTGATTATGCCGTGATGGCGGGTGGTTATTGTTCATGGTTGGGTGTAGTATAATTTTTTCCCTCGTGAAGGTCTTCCAATGTTAGTCGTGTGATTTTAAGACTCTCCTTCACTTCTCTATCTATCTGTCTTGCATGCAATTTCGTATCTTCGACCCCACGGACTTGAATTAGACTCAAGTCCCTCTCTAGGTGTGGCCCTCAAGAACTAGCACAAGAAAACGAGGCCTGCGCAGGCGTCTCGTGGATCGCTTTCCCTGAAACATAGAGTCCCAGCCCACACTACACCCGATGATCAGCTGTACTCCCCAAAGTAGACATCCCACACAGCAGAAGAACTTACAATAATCGCCCCGGCGCAAAACATAAACCCATTCACCACCGTCAGCGCGAACTTCCCGAGGCTACTGAACCACAACCCCCAATTCAGGTACAGCCAGAAAATCCCCGGAAGTCCATCTAACACATTCCCAGTCCCCAGTCAGCTTGACTATTCATACTCCGTAATCAGCTCAACCGAGAAAGGGGAAGAACAACGTACAAGTAAACCACGTCGCAAACAACGAAGCCTGTCCCACCCACCGGCAGTTAGCATCCCAACCTCCCATTACTTTTTCTTGTCGTGGCATGTTGAAAGAAGGGGGCACAAGGGAAGACGCACCACCAGGCTCAAAATATTGCTAAAGCTCGGAATCGCCTCGGCAATGACCCAGGCCAGCGCCCACACGCCCAGCGCGATCCCCGCCCACAGCGCGTAGCTCTTCCAGTCGGTCGCGTGCACCCGGTCCGTGCCGCGGAACAAGCGGATGTAGATGTATTTACAGGCGATGTGGCCGTTTACCACGCCGGAGATGATGATCTTTTCGGTTTTTTTTTTGGGCCGGGTTAGTCATCTGGGGTTCTTAGGGTTGAGGTGGGTGGAGATTGGAGGGAATTGGTAAATTGCAAAACAGGGCGGGGGAAAACGTACAGTCGGTAGGGCAACCCCATACGCGACCTTGCGGACCACGGGCGAGGCCGATCCTAAGGCCGGGGAGACGACGCTCGGGCCGGCGAAGTAGTAGATGAGGACGGCGACGAGGATGTAGAGCGTTGTGTCGATGGTTTGGAGCAGGTAGAGGGCTTTCGGGTAGTCTTTGGGTTGTTGGAGTTCGGAGATGAAGCTGAAGAAGGCGGCGTGGGCGGCTTTTGGTCTGTTTTAGCTTGGGGGTTGGGGGTGGGGAGAAAGGGAGGGTATACCGAATGCGAAAACCATGTTGGTGATGGCTAGGAAGCCTTTGTTGAGGTCGGTGCGGTGCACGGCGGTGGCGTGGTAGTGGTCTTGGTTGATGATGCCGAGGTCGATGGTTACTACGAAGATGGCGGAGAGAATGCTGATGAAGCCTGGGTTTAGGGTTAGATGGTTGTATAGGGGTGGCAGTGTTGGGGTGTTGAGGGTTGGGGTGGCCACGCACAGATGATGGCCATCAGGGTCATTCCGCGCATGGTGCGCGGTATTGTGCAGAGCAGCGAGATGGCGAAGCCTACGATGCTGAAGGCGATGGAGCAGGTCGCATGCTCCGTCATCGTGCTCATCGCCACCGAGAAGGTCAGCAGATGGCTGCCCATCACGAAGATCAGGAGCAGGATGAGACCCCCTCCTAGCAGTTCCCGGCCGAACGGGCCCCACAGCACCTCCCCTGCGTCGGCCATGCTGTGCACATGCGGATACCGCCATCTGAACTGTCCGATCACGTAGCCCGTGTATGTTGCCATGCCCCCGAGTCCGAGCAGGGCGATGATTGATCTGGTAGTGATGGGTAAGAAGCCGCCCTTCCTGCTGTGGGGAGAGATGGGGAAGACGTACGGAACGATCCCCAGGGCTGCAACGGCCGCTGGGAGCGATAGGATTCCCAGAGATACGGTTTCGGCAATCATGACTATCGTTTGTGAGTATGTGGATGTTATTGGCCTTCATAGAGGTGTACGACGTACGCATGCCACATTGCCTGAAGAGTTCGTTAGTGGTTTAATCCAAGATGCCATCAGTAGTCGACATACCACCAACTCAAGGTCTTGTACTGCATTTGTCCTTCGACTTCCTCCCCAAACGGGTCCTCCGGGTTGTCATTCTGTGGGGTGGGTTTCTTTGACACGTCTTCTTCCATACTTTGTCGCGCACTCTCCAGTTGCAGGTCGGATCGGACCGACTCATCACGGTGAGACATTTGCGTAGCCTGGCTTTCAGATAAGAACCTCTATAAATTGGACTTTCGCAGTTCTAGCAGAAGTTCGATGAGCGCTGAAGAGGGCAAAGTAGACGCTCAATGGTTTCAAGGATCTCAGCGGTCCTTGCTACGGGAGGTCGATATTTAAGCTGCAATTCCAGAAAATGACTATCACGTTTCCTGCCACGCTTTTCGTCCCCTTACCCCGCATTTTTCCTCTGAGAAAAAGTGGATCTCCCCGGCCTTGGCTGAGACTGGACGCACAAAAAACACGATCGTTCTGCTCCAGACGCATGGGCATAGCCGACGCAAGGCCGGACATACGGGGATATTCCGCTTCATTTGCGAGCGTTCTCTCGTAGGGAGATGACCAAAAAGCTCAATAGTTGTGGTTGAAGCGTAGGACCATCACCTAATCCAGTTATGTGGCAGAGAAAGATCTCAACGAATCTTTACAAGACTGCCATTTTCCAACTGCTGCGGCTGGTTATGCTTTTGGAGCCTCGCAGTCAAGTTTGCTTGAGATCCGCGTGTCACTTTCCACGGAGCAGGAGTTTCGGCATTGGTCTACAGGCGCAAGTCAACCCTTGGGGAAGTTCATACCTGAGGCATTGAGTCGCTGGTGTTCGGTTGAGGATTACTCTTAGAATCTATAACGATGATAAATGGGGTATATATCTTTTGTATGCGATCCAATTCCTCTACAGACCCGTGGTATCACGCTGTACTTAACAAGAAGGAAAATGTCGAATGATCAGAGCGGTGCTTTCCGTTGTTGCGGAAGTACACTACAAGTCCTCATCTTTGTGTTTTTTATCAGCGAACCTTTGACTGGTCCGCCTGCAGAAAATGTTTCACGGCCGTTCTGCACCGGATACCCGCGGCTGTTCGTGGCTATTTCATTTTATCAAACTACCCGGCTGGCAGATCTGTGCCGGCGATGCCGGCTTCCTGCGTATCCAAGACCGAAATAGCCGGAAAACTGTTACGAAGCAATAGTCCTCGAGGGTATTAGTAGCTTGCTCTTGCTATAAGCCTTCCTGGAACGCGATTTCCGAAGAGCAATGTTGAGAACTAGTCTGTTCAGGTATAACACTGCTTGCTTGTTGCAGCAATGCACCAGAAATGAATGGGGGACTCGTGGGACCAGCTGCATGAGTCTTTCATTGCATGTTGATCCGAGCGGCATATCTTTCTGTGTGTATCATGGGGCATTGAATAGGCTTCTACTTGCAAAAGGGGGTTCGGGGGTTTGCTCGCAAGGCCAGAGGCGAGGCATTCTTTTAATATGCCATTTAGCGTTACTGTGTGCGCATAATCTGCCGATTGGCAATTGAGTACGTCAGGGAATGCAGTTGTGGGGTGGGCAAGGGCCTCCAGCTTGAGGTGCGGACGGCCGCAAACGGCGATGAATCCGACCTTTCCATGGAGGAAAATACGGGTCGGCCACTGCCAATCTAGCCCTAGAATTCAATCTACTTGGCATACATCATCCTGGATCTTTAATCTACCCTCGGTGGATCGCATTGAAAAGAAAAATAAAAGCCAATTCAGCAGCAAAGCATCATAAGTTGCATTCATAAGTTGCATTTCCTCTCAGTTTTCGCTTGTCGCTGCACCGATACACAAAAAGACTATACTTTCCCTCAAAATTCATGTACTTCAAAAGTCAATGCATCTCCAATGCACTGCACGGCAGGGAGCTAGCATAGCAGAAGGTCCCGCGCGTGGTTTTTACAGCCACGTTCAGGCGTCTAGCTGCAGACGATGTAGGAATCCCATTTGTTGTATTTCTGGTGGTCCCAGTGTGTCAGTGGCTTTCCTGAAGACTGGAAACTGTGACGTGACTTACTGGAGCTGGCCAGGCGATGTACTTGCCACTCTTGCAGACGAGATTGTTGCAGCCATCATACCCTGATAAACCCGATCGGTCAGAGCTTGCAATCGCTCCAGATGTAGGCGCTAGATGTTTTCGAACTTACAGGTCCACCCGCATTTGGTCCCGGCCACGCCACCTTTGTACTTGTCACTGACGACGGCTCCCTTGCACCAGAAAGAGACTTCGCCTCGCTTCACGATCTCGAACTCATCGGAACCTCCTTCGGGGCCGTCGATGTATTCGAGGCCGTCCTCGTCGGGGGTCGGGGCGGCGGTGACGAGGTTGAGGGCGGCAAAGACGGCGAGGATGTTCTTCAACTGCATGTTGATTCGAGGAGGGGTGGTCTGGAGGCGATTGGGGAGGTTCTTGTATTGCTCTGCGATGGTCTGATGTTGTTGATGATGAGGAAGGAAAGGGATAGGGTTATCCAGGATGAGTCGGCCATTTTATAGACAAGAAGCCCAGGTCTAGACCTCGTTCTTCTCTTGCAAGGATACGATCTCTGATCTCACGACTTGATGTTTGAAGAAGATCTTGATGAGATTCACGAGCTGAGAAGAACCGTATCGAGGAGGAGAGCGAAGTTCTCGTAAATCATGGCCGTGATAGCGGATACTACAGCCGCTCAGCTGCCCGGCGTCTTGGGCGGGCCGCCTCGTAAACTTGGTACTACACCTGCCGGGATCGCCACATGGGTCTGTCTGGACACAATTTGTTTGGATACCCGGCGCGATGGGTCTGTCGAGCCAAGCCCCAAGATACTCCTGAGCTACATTTCGATAAGGCTCCGCGATTAGGTTTAGGTGATGTCTGGTACCCCCAGGGTCAATGATCGCGACCAATACGAACCCCGCGTTCCACCTGAGAGAAAGCAATCTGAACGTAAGGCTAGCGCCTGTAGTACCTGCTTTGAGCAGAGGGAAGCGAGGGTGGAGCATCCTGCCTTTCACCTCGTCGGTCGTTTTGGAAGACTTTCTTGCTGGCGGGTGGAGTCATAGGTCGTGTTCAGCGTGCCTGCCATGCTATCTTACCAGGGCTAAGGTCACCATCTCGCCTCTTCTCTTTGTTATCCTGGTCTTGGCATACAATGGTCTCTCGTGGAACGATTTGAGACTGGGGTGAGGTAGTGAGATTATCTGTTGCAGCGGATTTACCCGGATCTCATGCATTTGGGTACGACAAAGGTCTAGCCTCGGACCCCATGGTCTGAGTGAGCCCTAGCCATCGTGCCGCATCTCCAGCGGAATTGGGGAACTAGACCGTCAATGGTTTCACGGCTCTCGGTGCTGAAGTCCACGAATTCGATTGCTGTCGTTTTGATTCAGATATCGCACGGTTACTATTGGCAGGATGAGCTGGAGACAGCAGCAAAAGTGCCGGATGACTACATCGCACCAAAGGTGGGCACGGTGAGAACGCTGGTCGGAAATGAGGCAGTTTCAACCACATTGAACACTTCAAAACACATTACTATCATAATCCAATGGCTAAATAATCTACGCTAACCAAAACACCGACGAAGTATGCATTACCCCTCTCTCAATGGAACCACACAACCGCTAAACCAGCAACGCAGCCACCACCATCCCAAGCGCAACCCACCCGCCACCAGTCACCACCCTCGCTCCCCTCGCAGTCGCAATCCACGTCGAATCCGACTTCAACGCCCCCGTCGAACCACTGGCCAGCCCACTCTCCGTAGGCGTCGCGCTCTTCTCCGCAGCATGAGCCTCACCCCCCTCACCCCTATCCTCCTTCTCGTCATTCTTCTCCTGCACATCCTCCACCTCATCCCTCCCACTATCCTCATCATCATCATCCCCATCCACCACCCGAAACATCGCTGAATACCTCACCTCCTCCCCACCGTCGACCCCGACCACCGCAAAGCGATAATCCTCCGCCAGCGTCAGATTCCCCGGCAGCACGCACGCTAGACTCCCCGAGTTGGCCACGTGCGTCGCCACCGTCGAGACATTCTTGGCGGTAGTGGACCCCGCCTCCCTCCCCTCCATGAGGTAGACGCTGACGTGCCCGGATCTCTGATCCTGCGCGACGGGCCACGTCACAATGGTGGTTTTGCCGCGGGCGATGGCCTGGTTCTCGGTCGGGTAGTAGGTTGTTGTTTCTGAGGTGGTGGTGGAGTTTGTTGCTGCGGAGGTGGAGTTGTTGGGTAAGGGCTTGGGGGCGGTGATGGTGAAGGCCGGGGACTTGTAGGTTGCCTTTTCTTCTTGGGTGGTGTTTGAGGTAGAAGTGGTGTTGGTGGTGTTGGTATCGTTGTCCGGGGACGTGGTCGGGTCGAGGACGATGATGTACTCCTCGCCCGGCGGGATGCGGGCGGGCGGGGACCAGGAGATTGACCCCGAGTTGGTGATGTTGGTGGCGATGGTGTAGAGGTTTGTGTGGTTGGTGGTGGTTTCGAGGTGGATGGAGAGTTTGGCTGAGCTGCGTTGCGTGGTGGACCACGAGATCACGCTGGGGGTGTTGGGGGTCAGGATTGCCGAGGCCGCGGGCGAGGTGATTCTGTAGGCGGGCTTTTGGTCGGGGGAGGCGCTCGTTAGGGTTGCGAGGGTGGTGAGCGTGGTGAGGAGGGGGAGGATGTGTTGGGGGGGGAGGAACATTTTGGTGGTTGGGGTGATGCAGTACTCAGGAGAGAGGGTGATGGACGTGATGGTCTTTGACTGTTGGCGCTGAAGAGCAACGACGCGGTGGGATTGGTGTGTAGTATTTATCCTCTTTCGCGCTGTAGGAAGAGGTTTGATGATCCGGGGAAGGCGTGGGTCGTGGAATGTGAAGGCGGTTCAGGGCTAAACTCCCTGAAGATGTTGGTGCCATTCTTGCCGCTGGCTGACTATACTTGGCGTGACTTTTTGGAGGAGGCTGGAGGTATGCGAAATAACCTTGAAGTTCTTATAGACACCTCTTTTACTTCCTTGACAAATCTCGATTGAATCTACTTGCCCTTGAGCGAAGTCACACCCTCAATTGGCCTGTTGATATTCAGGGGGGGCGCGTCGTTGTTCTTCTACGCAGTCCCCGCACCACCACAAGGAATGCTACCAGACTTGAAGCTTCAAGCGCCAACACATGGCATTTGAATGTTGAACATTCAAGGGTCAACAAAAATAGCATCTCCCCTGGATGGAGCCACCGTCTTGGATCATTTGTCCAGCTATCACGGGGCTCAGACCACTATACCCGATTCCTTCCTCCTGTCAACGCCCTGTGCGGAGGTAGAACTCCGGCATTCTCGAATGACCGAAACGTCTCAATCCAGGTATCGAACGTCTTGTCGTGTCGCGTCCAACCCATCTTCCTCGCCTTGTTGATGGAAGAGATGGTCAGCCAGGATTTCCCGGTCGCCCAGTTGAAGAAACTCCAGGTGCCCCAGCCAAAAGCCTCCAGCTTGCCTCCATACTTCTGCACAACCCGCTCCCAGACCTCTTGTTTGTCTTTCGCCCATTCCACCATGTCAATTTCGTTACTGAGGGTTTTGGCCTGCCCTGACGCTTTTTCGAAGTTCGGCTCCGGTGCCTACATAATTGTCAATGTTTCCGCACAGCATTTCTTTTTCGCAATGGAAGGCAACGCACCTCCACCCCGAAATATTCTGCCACATTCTGCCACATGTGCTTCCAGACAAAGACATCGCCGTTGACATGGTTGAACACCTCATCCTTGCAGTGGTCGTGCATCGACGCCCACACGGTGAGGTCGGCCAGACTCGGGGCGTAGGAGTTATCGTCGATCGAGTTCCAGAAGTACTCGTTGCCCGGAAAGGTGGCCGGCTGACCGAGCTCGCGGCAGATCAGCATGTAGATCGCGACGGTGAGGGCCTCGGACATGCCGTTCGCTGGATGCTTCATTAGCCACCAGCCGCTTCCTTCTCTCTCTACCTCAGTAAGTGTAGGTGGGAAACCCCTCACCATGCGGAGCATAACCATTAATGGCGTTCGGCCGGATGATGTTATACGACCAGCTCCCGCGCCGGCCCTGCACCTCCCGGAGGTAATCCTCCTGGTTGTAGTAGAAGTTGTACCCCTGGTCCTCGTACCGCGGGAAAGACTCCTCCAGCGGCACTTTGACGGGGCCCAGGTGGACGCCGTAGTACTGCGTTCACGTTAGTATCCCGGAGGGGCTGTCAGCAAACGGGGGGGGGGGGGACATGATGCGCACCTTGCCGCCGGTCTGCAGACTCACGCGCTGCAGCGCCGGACAGACTGCATCCACTGCCTCCAGGAAATTGCGGAACAGCGGGACGTTCTTGTCCTTGAGGACGCGGAAATCATCGTCGTGCACGTACGAGGTGAAGTATGCGTGCGTGACCGGGGCGCAGATGTCTTGCAGCTCTGCCATGATTTTCTCGACTGGTTGCAGGAAGTCGGCTGCCACGAATTCCACGCGGGGATCGATCCATGGGACTGGGAGGGGACGTCGGGATGAGACGATGATTCGAGACCTGTTTTGGTGGGCTTTAGGGTTAGATTTGCTGTGGAGCTGAGGGGGTGTGTGTATTTATGGCTCGGGGGGGTGCACCATTCTTCTTTGGGTTGTCGGATTAGATGCTCGACAATGGCGTAGCCGCTGATGCCGTTGGCGCCGGTTACGAAGGCGACTTTGGGGGGTTGGAGGGTCATAGTAGATTGGTGTTGGTTTGGGGAGGAGGTTTCGTGGAAATGGATGATAATTGGGTGTGATGGGTGCTGAGATCTGGCTTTTATGTGTTGAAGTTGACTTGAGACTACCTGGTAGCTTCGGTGGAGCCTTGCTCAGTATCCCGATTTACCCGGATTGTTGTAGTTTATTTTGCGAGAAGAAAGTCGATCCTTGCCATGTTTTGCTTAGGTTGGTCGGTTTGTCCTGCAGGGTCCCGGAATTCACGGAATTCACGGAAATGCTAGGTTGTGAGCTTGTTATGAGGAGAAGTGGAAGGTAAGATGGGATCGGTATCAAGAATTGTTAGGGAGTGCTTAGTATGAGGTGAATTTGTCTGGTACTTGGTTTATTATCGCCAGGAGTTGTTAGGAGGTGTTCAGGGTCAGGGTGCTTGTTTGTTGTATTTGGGTAACTGCGGTCGGCGGAATTGCCTGCCAAGATATCTAACGGACATGCAGGCCACCTTTGATGCATATACTGAAGCAAATGCAGGCGCAGAATTGTCGATAAAGAATTCATTCACTTTGCTTTAAATGTGACGATTAGAGCGATTATAACTTCCCCATATAGGAAACAAAGTGAATCCTCCTCTTACCCGGGCAAGGCACGCATAGTGATTTCAAGCTTATGTTAAGAGAAAGCTCCCCTTTGGATGAATAAGTGGAGGTAAGTAGAGGTCATGTCAGATACTAGTTCATATTGTCTTCTTGTGCCTGCGTTGAGGTTGAAACTTTGCGTTGAGAGATAGAGAGGGTAGCTGGCAATATCTTCTTGGTAGACCTGGTGTTCTGAAGCACAATTGAGTGTCAGAGACCAATCTCCATTGACTGTAGCTAGAGTTGGGCATCAGACAGCATCCGCCACTTGGCAACATAACATATTCACACAATGCCTGGAAACCAACAATGCAAATAACCGGCCAACCCCCGAAACAAGTATAACCTCAATGCTCAGAACAAAGCACTACCCGCCTGCAATCTCTTCTTTGCATCCTCCCTAACCTCCTCCACGATCTCAGCCGCCTTCTCAATTTTCTTGACCAACCCCACCCCCGACCCAGCCCAGAGGCTCTTCGTATCCCGAAAGGCGCCCTCCGTCTCCCGCAACCGACCGAGATCCCGCTGCAGCTCCGCCCGAATCTCCTCGATCCCGACCCCCTGCTGCTCCATCTCATACCACCGATTCGTCAAACTCCGACCATCGTACATCTGCGGCCAGAAAGTGGGGCCCCACATCTCATCAAACACCCGCGACCGAGCGGTCGCCTCCCCGCCGTCCGACGCCCGAAACAGCTCCTCGCGGTACTGCGCGGGGACGACCGCCTCCTCCGCGGCCAGGAACCGCGTGCCCATGACCACCCCCGCCGCGCCCAGCACCATCGCAGCCGCGGCGCCGCGGCCGTCCACGATCCCGCCCGCCGCAATCAGCGGGATCGCGCCGACTGGCCGGTCGTCGTCCTCGTCGTCCTCGTCGCTTAACGCAAGCGCCCGCAGTGCATCCGCCACCTCCGGCAGCAGGGTGATCAGACTGGCGCCGCGCGCGTGGCCGTGCCCGCCCGCATCGGACCCCTGGATGACCAGCGCGTCCGGGCGGCACGCCCGCGCCGCCTCGACCGCCGCCGTGACGCTGCCGATCTGGATCCAGACGTGCGTTTGCGGCGACGCGGTGCGGATCATCGCGGTCCATGCGGCGAAGTCGGCCGGCGCGCCGAAGGACAGCCACACGACCGCGGGCTTGTACTCGGCGACCAGCGCGGTGACTGCCGATGGGGAGGTTACGGCCACGATGATTCCCAGTCCGATCGGCAGGATGTCGGTATCAGGTGAAAGAGGCAGACTCTGTCGCGCGTGCTGCAGGTGGGTTTCGAGTTCGGGGAGGGAGGGCAGGAAGCCGATGTATCCTAGGCCTCCGGCGCGGGTGACGGCGGTCGCGAGCGAGTCGGTGGCAAAGCCGCTCATTGGGGCGTTGATGATGATTGGGGACTGGAGCCAGGGGAAGGCTTGGGCGAGCTTTGCGGTGGACATTTTGGTGGTGGTGATGGTGGTGGTGGTGGTAGGTGATGGGAAGATGATGTGAGACTGAAGTCGGTTTTATGGTACTGAGTAGGTGGGGTATGCTAATGCTGACGTTAGTGCTTATGCTTATGCTTTATAAGTTAGCTACTGGGTAACTATAGCCAACTCGCTGTGTGACAGTGAGTGGTGAGTGGTGAGTGGTGAGTGGGTTCCCGGAAATACGGCTGATACCACCACAATTTGTGGGTGGAAAAGCATTCCCCGAGCACCCCGAGATGCCCCGGTCCCGGCCCACCAGACGCCGATCTGTCACCGTCTGATTCCATGCCTCAGGCATCAACTCACCTGGTCGCATCTTGCACAGCTCAATATGACTTCTCATATAGTGGTATTGTGTGAATACTCGGTCTATGACCTTACTGTTCTATAAAACGATCAATCAATACAAGAAGGATCAGGTAGCCTAAGAATCGGACTGGAACGCGGCTCGCAGAACAGGTCAGTCAGCCATTCAAGAAATAAATCGAGATTTATACTGCCAAATCGCACCATCATCTTCTCCGTAGAAAAGCCCTCCAAGTCTCCAGGCTAGTTCAACCGCTCCCCGCTCTCATCAAACCGCACCACCTCCCCAGACAACAAAGCATGCTGCAGCGCCTGCCCGATCAGCATGACCTTCATGCCCGCCTCCAGCGGCAGCGGCACCTCGCGATCCTCGCGCACGGCCGCAATAAACTCATTGGCCTCTAGTGCGAACGCATGCTCGAACCGCTCCCAGTACTCCGGCTGCACCTCGTGGCGCATGCCCAGCTTATCCGCCAGCACCACGTTATTCTGCCGCGGCACCACGTTGACCATCAGCTTGCCCTCCGTGCCCGTGATCTCCGTGCAGACGTCGTGGCCGTGGGCCTGCGTCCGCGAGCAGTAGAAGTAGGCGATCTTGCCGCCCCAGAACTCCACCACCCCGACCGCGTTGTCCACGTCGGACAGCTCCCGGAGCTCCGGGTGATGCTGCAGGGCGCCGGCCGCCCAGCACGCCTTCGGGGTCGGGTTCCCCAGGAACCAGAGGGAGAGGTCGATGTCGTGGATGGCGCAGTCGACGAAGATGCCGCCGTTGCGGGCCGCGTACCGCACGAAGAAGCCCGTCTCGTCGCGGAGGTCGCACGTGTTGGAGCGGACCAGGAACGGGGTCCCGATGGCGCCCTGCTCGTAGATCTTGGCGCTGGCGTCGCGGTAGGAGGCGTCGAACCGGCGGGAGAAGCCCGCCATCACCTTCAGCGAGGGCTTGGCTCGGGCGGCGTCGACGACGGATTGCGCCTGATTGCGGTGCTCTGGTTAATTGAAGGGTCGTGTGAAGGGGAGGGGTAGGTGGGGGGGGAGATGTTGTACCTCCGCAAGATCGGTGCTGAGCGGCTTTTCGCAGAGGACGTGCAGGTCCTTCGCGATGGCCGCCAGAGATTGGCTGGCGTGGACGTCCGTGCTGCTGGAGATCCAGACTGCTTGTAAGCCCGGGTGCTCCAGCATCTGGTCGTAGTCTTCGTAGACGGTGATGCCGAAATCGGTGTACTCTTGGTTGTTCCGGGCCCACTTGACCTCGCTCGCGTCGGAGCTGCATACCCCTACCACCTGGGCGTGGGCGACGCGATACAGCAGTGTGTGGACATGGCGTTTGCCCTGGGCTGGAGTGAGCAGTCGTATCGTTCAGGTGATGGAATCGATTCATACCATGCGACCAAGGCCGACAACTGCAATCTTCAGAGGGTTCTGTGTTCGGGTCATGTTGGGAAGGTTTCGTGGGATAGAAGCGGTTAGAGAGTGTGCTGATGACGAAGAAGGACGATACGAACCTCGTGAGAAGACTTCGCTCTCTTTATAGCTTTGATCAAGTACCCTCGAAGCATGAGTTGAATGTTGTATAGATTGAAACCAGGGGCGCCGGCACCTGCCGGATCAGGTAATTCTGAGTCCACGCCGCCGTGCCCCCGGAACTCCGCCGCTACTTGCCCAAACGGGCAATATATTCTCATCGCGGCGCCGGCGCTCGCGCGACTTGATTAACAAGAGTGTTACTTGCATCACTGTGCTTAATCTAGACAGTCGTCCAAGAGAAGCTCAGATGAGAAGATAGAAGATCATTTTTCTCTTGTTGACAGGCGTTGCACACACCATGATCCTATCCAGATACTATTGCCCTTCTCTTGTGTTGTGGTCGTATCAAAGGCGAATTTATCCTGTAGTGCTTTTTTCTCCGTTGAGGAACAGACATCGGGTAATGCCACACGAGCATCGTTCAAAAAGGTCATGAAAAGATTCCCAAGTGAGACCTCCGAAACAACGATCGGAGTGTTTTCCTGGATGTGGGGAAATGGAGTGCGGGGTCAAGCTCCCCGGGCCCGCTTTCCCATTGACTGCAAAGAGCAACCGCCGCCGTCGACTCAGTCCCACAACAAACCAAAAACTTCATCACATTCACCTACCAACACGATGTCAGTCACAGCCACGGCATCTAATGGTCAGACTCCATGCTCCAACTGTCGAGGTATGCCTTGGCCTCCACATCGATTCAGCCAGGCGCTCTTGCTAATCCAGCGACCAAACCAACCATCCAGAAAAGCACGTGCGCTGTGAGTGATCCACAGGCTAACAAATCTTTCTCAGACCTTTTTACACTAACTCTAATCCTGTGCGAGACTTTAGGTGATAGGCTACGTCCAGTTTGTACGCAATGCAAAAAGAAGGGCTGGACCTGCCAGCCGGTCCAACCCAAGTCGCCGTTCCGACAGGGGTCTAAGGCAGGCTTGGACGCCAGCTTTTTGGGAAACCAGGCTTGGGTGAGCAGTGAGCTCAAGCGGTGGAAGTCACCCTTGAGCCAGCAGCAGACCTCCGATGGCGTGTCGGCTCCTCCAGCCCACCTGGTCCAGGATGCTTACGTGGAGAATTACGGGGTACTGTCTTCCCCGGCAGAGACAAGTGGAGGAGCATGGATACAAACTGGCTCGTCGTCGTCGAGTTCTCCTAGTTCACAATCAACAACGCAGATTGGGCAAAGCGAAGTGAACAAGGGGCATTTGCTCGCTACGCAAGGGGATACCACGCTGCAACGCTTAAGCTCAGGGCATTTGCAACAAAGCACGGGATCATCCGACGCGCGTTCGGCCCTGGCTGGCCAGGTTCGCCAAGGAGCCCGTGGATCCGCATCTATATCAAGTCCTTCGAGTGAACTCAAACGCAGGCATAGCGAGGTGTCACCAAGCTATTTCGCACACCAAGCATCCTTGCAAGAAGCTTGTCTACTTCGATACTTCATTGAGGAGATTTCGCCCTGGGTATGTTGAGCTCCATTTGCATCGAGGGTCAACCCCTGACACAGCGCAGTTCGATCATTGCGATCATCTCAGGCACTTTCGATTGGAAGTCCCTCGGCGAGCACGGCACTGCTCGACCTTGCGAAACGCTATTTTTGCTGTGTCGGCACGGCATCTCATTCGCCTTCCCCAGTACAAAACCCCGCGGGGAATCGTGTACCATGGACAATTACTCTCGGATTTGGAAGATGCCACCGCGGTTGAATACACACTTAGGTGTATACCCGACCTTGTCAAGTTTCCCGGCGTATCGGACCCGCTCGATCAAGAGAATATCATGGTCGCCGCAGTCATTCTTCGCCAGTATGAAGAGATGGAGGAAGACATGGACGACGACGAGCCTGCGGAGACTGCCGCCCAGAAACGAGTCAACTTTCTAGCCATCACTCAGACAATCATCGAGTCCATGATGTCACATCGCCTTGAACAGTCGCTGGCAACGGCAGCATACTGGATCGCGATCAGACAGGAGGTATACTACGCGCTAACGAGACAACGTGCACCGATCATGCAGTTCCAGCCCCAGGACTGGAGGAGAGCATCGGTCGCAAATAAGTTCATCATGCTCGCTAGCGAGGTCACGAAGTGGTTCTGGGAAGACCGATCGGTCGATGAATGGGGTTTGTCTTACTGTCACCTGAAAACCCCAGAGAAACGAGCATAGCTGATTCGTGTAGAGCGGCTTGTGCGGTGTGAGCGGCAACTGGTGGACGCGTGTCGAAGCGAACTCGTGCCTATCCTCGAAAAGCGAGCGGAGAAGCTGCAGGGCCAGATCTTTCCGACCATCTGGTATAGCTCTGAGGATCAAGTAACGGCCAGCCAGCACCTGGAGCTGTCTAGAATGATTTTGACTGCCGAGAGTCCGCATCTTGAGTGAGCCTACCCCGTAACACCAACCGCATAGTCGCTTGCTAAATTGTTGACAATAATACAAGGAACGCAAACCGGGCGGCGCATCGCAGGACGGAATCCCAAGTCCGCTCCATGGTTTTGAAGATCTGTGGCATTGCTTTGAATCACATCGATTGCAAACCGGCTCTGGTCAATGGTGTAATTGCTGTGACTTTATATGGGGAGTACTTCACGGAGGCTGAAGAACGAGATGCTTTGGTGACAGAAATCATCCATCGAGCTCAAGAATTAAACGCATGGCCGATGCAAAAGCGGCATGAGCGACTAAAACAGCGATGGCGCTCCATGGACGGATAAAACGGATGCCGCCTTGGTGACCGCCCGCTGGGAAATAGTGTATGTGCTGCCTCAGGCCTGCATTCTCTCTCCCAACCACCGACATTTAAGTGTGCTGTATCTACGGAGTACAGTACGTCGTCAGTCCGACTTCCCTTCTCCGGGATGCGCTGCGCTCTTTGAACCATTCGTCCCTTTATCCACGCGCTATGAATCTTTTAGCTAATACCTCATCCTATAGGATTGCCGTGTCGAAGTGATGACGAGTCAGAATGGGGATCATCCTCCCTTCGTCTCAGGGTGATCAAACCATCCAGAAATTGCGAACAGCATTACAAATCCCGGCTGGGGCCGCTGAAGCGTGCCAAAGGGCTGAACCATCACGTTGTGCGCGCTGGCTGGTCGCATGTTACATCCTCAGCTATGATCCCATACCTGAAAGGGAAACGCCCAAGGGGCAGCATGATATCATTTCTTCCTAACGCCCAATTATTTTCCGACATCACCCCGACATCGAATGCATTGGAAGCTTGCTCTTGTCGTGCAAACTATAATTGTCGGGTACTTGATCCTCGCTTTTTCACATTCCAGGCCCAATGTACCCGGATCCCAGCGCCGGTTTACAAAAGCTGAAGCTATGACCCTTTCGACCGGCGCCAGGTCTTCGTGACCACGAGCCATCATCAGGCGACCCACTTGTCTTCGTGGACGCGACGATGCTGATGTGTACAAGCACACGATCGTGAGTCGCGTGGCGTGTATACGACTCAGTATCATCTTGATGCACATGCAAAGGAGCTAACTCCTAGTGCCCGAGCCAATGGTAGCCGGCAGCCCGGCATCTCAACTTCAAGACTTCAGGTAGCTCAGGGGACTTGGTGCATGGTTGCTGTCCGTCCGTCGGCTACGCTCCGGCACTCTGATGTCTTTTCCGGATCTCTTCAGGCAGCTGGCTCCTAGCGATTATCGATTAGAGGTGAATGTTGATCTGCCTGGCACCAGTGACCACCCCTTTGGCCCAGTGTAAGAGGTATGTATCCCTTGTTTAGGGCTCTTGTGCCGGGTGTTTAAAATCAACCTCGTAAACCAGGTTGATGACCAAGATTTATCAATGATTTCACGATGGGTGAACTGAAGCTTGCAGATTATACTGACCTAGATCGTCTTGCAGCGGAGCATGAGTTGGAGCTGACGCCAGACGGAGCTCACCTGCGATGGGGCAAGACCAACAGGAAGCATCCACGCAACTGGCACCCAGCACGCAAGACCTATGACATAACCGTGATCGGTCTTCTGGAGTTCTTCACGTGAGCATACCTAGTCGACTCCGTGGCATCTGCTAATGGAGGTTTATAGGACTGCGATGAGTACTTCAGGGGTGAGTCAATACATTGCAATGATCAGGACTGTGTTGGGCCCGTCAGCTAACGTGTCAACAGGCCGCAACTGCAAAAGCCGCACAGCTCGAGCTAGGCACCGGAAAGACCTTCACTTTGTTTTTATATGTCTCCACGTGGGTTTGATGCTCTCCACATCTGACGTCGTGTTGACATGTCTTAGATATCTTCTGGGCCAAGGTCTAGGCGGCGTGGTTTTCCCACCATACTCGGAAACGTTTGGTCGGAAACGGCTCTATGTCTTGAGTGCTCTCTTATATAGTGTCTTCTGTCTTCTGATCGGCGCCGTTCCCTCAGCCAGCGCTCTGGTGATAGGACGCTTGGTCACTGGATTCTTGTCTGCCATTCCAACTATCGTCATCACGGGGAGCATCGAGGACTTGTTCAATTCACAGGATCGCATATGGGTGATGCTCTATTATGTTGCCATGGCATGTCTCGGGGTCAGTGCGGGTCCCATCATGAGCTCCTATGTCACTTATCGATACGGATGGTATGTTAGCTCGAATTCCAGTTCTACCTCTGGCGCCGATCGCTTACGCCCGAAATTACAGGAGATGGGTCTTCAACATCGGAGCAATCGTGACCTGTGTTCTCGCAGCGATGCTCATGTGCATCAAAGAGTCGCGGCCATCATTGATCCTGGCCCGGGAAGTCCAAGCGTTGCGCAAGTTGACCGGGAACGACTCGCTGCTTGCCCTCAACCCGGACTTCATGCCGGACCTTCGCACCTTTGCGCACGTGGGACTCTTCCGACCGTTACGATTGTTCTTCACCGAGCCGATAGTCTTCGTCGTGACCATGGTGTTCTCTGTCTGCGTCGCGCTCATCTATCTATTCGCCGAGGCTCTTCCACCCATCTTCGAGGCCTTCGGCTTCAGCACGGAGGACTCCAGCCTGCCCTTCCTCGCCCTCGGCTTGGGGTTCATCCCTAACATCGCAACCCGCATTCTCGACTACCGCATCACACAGCGACGCCTGAAGGAGGGCCTGAAGGTGAAGCCCGAGCACAAGCTGACGGGCATCTACATCGGCGCCCCCGTCCTCGCCCTGTCGCTGTGGTGGTTCGCCTGGACCGTCCCCCCGGTCGGCGCGGCCGTTCACTGGTTAGTCCCCGTGGTCGCTCTGTTCTTCACCGGCTATGGCCTCAACGAGATGGAGGTCGTCGTCTCGCAGTACATGGCGGACTCCTACCTCAGCTACGCCGCCAGCGGATTCGCCGCCCTCTCCATCGTTCGGTCTCTGCTTTCTGCCACCTTCCCGCTGTTCGGCAGTGCCATGTTCGACAGGCTGGGCGCCAACATCGGGATGTCGATTCTGGCTGTTGTTGCGACGCTGTTCTGCATCGTGCCGCCGCTTTTGTCGCGCTACGGGGAGCGGATGCGTAAGAAGAGCAACTTCGCCAAGTATAGCTTGCAGGTTTATGCGGAGAACGGGGTGGACTCGGACTTTCGCTAGGACTAATTCTGCTCTGGTGGTGACTGTGACTTGTTTTGCTTGTCGAGACAGCACCAGCAATTTGCACCACCGCCAACATGAATGACTCCTTCCCCTGTTAGGGGTAAGGCTCGGGTGGCGATAGGACGAGAAATGATCATAAATACGCCTTGGAACTTTTTCTTGATTTCCGATTATGATGACGATAAAAATGGCCTTGTGTATGCACTAGTTGCGATGTCATATAATGCTTGTTGTCTGTGGGTTTAGGTAACGTACAATATACAAAAATCATTGGTCGCAAAGCCAGATATCATTTCTGTAGCTTCCTCGGCTTCGGGTTCTACTGTTCTACTGCGATACAGTGGGCGTGCGAAGGGCACCTCTCAGTCCCTTGAAAACTTTGTCAAGCCAAACTGTTGTTTTGACATTATCCACATATTCGCACTGAGCAAGATCGATGCTATCAGCCTACCAGCTCCACAACCTCATCTCAAAGCCAGCACTTGATTATCCCATCATCCCAAGAACAATCACTTATACCATGCTAGAATAGTTCAAGCCAAGTACTAAAAGTCCAAAGGTCTCATCCCTCAATTCTTACACGGCCTCAGCACAACATGACCCCCCCAGCCGGACCATCGCGCCGCAGCCTCCAGGGCCTCCGTCGCCGACTCGAGGCCAAACTCCTCGACATGGTCCACCCCAAACGCCTCGCCCAGCCGCAGCAACCCGGACTCAACCATCTGGATTAACCGCAGGACGTGCCGGCGATCATACATGAACCGGCCCTGCAAGCGCAGCGACTTGAACATGACCTCCAAGTAGGGCACATTGATCCGCCCCGTCGAGCCCCCCATAATGACACACCGGCCAAACGGCCTTAACGCCCCCACTGCCGCCGCCAGGAGCGACCCATCCGCCGCCGGCGGAGAAAAATCGATATAGACATCGGCGCCGCCGGCCCGGGAGTTCCGCCCCGCCGCCGCCGCCGCCCTCAACGCCTCGGAGCGCCGCTGCACATCCCCCTCATGCTCCATCACCACCGTCCGCAGCCTCCCCGGATGCGTATGCGCATACGTCCTCTCCATGGCCGCCAGCACCGCGCGATTCCGCCCGACCGCCACCACCGTCGCCCCCATCGCCAGCGCCACCGCCACCGCCGCCCCCCCGTACCGCCCCGTCGCCGGCCCGACGATCACCACCTCCCCGGGCTTAACCTCCACCTCTGTTAGCCCGCCAAACGGCACCAGACACACGGACAACAAACACAGATCGGCAACGGAGTACCCCAGCCCCAGCCCCTGCTGCTGCTGCTGCTGCTGCTCCTGCTGCTGGAGCAGCACCCCCTCGTCCAGCGCGAACAGATTCTCCAGCGGAAACCGCGCGTACTCCGCGTACGTCGCGTGGCGCCACGGCCCGTCCATCAGCCGCTGCGCCGCGGCCGTCCCGCCGCCGTGCACCCCGGCGAGCATCGAGACGGTCGGGTCGTCGCGCGCCCGGATCGTGATGTCGATGAACACCAGCTGGCCCGGCTGCAGGGCGACGGCGTCGTCGCCGGCGGCGTGGATCCGGCCGATCGCGCTGTTGCCCGGGGTCAGCGGGAGGGAGAGCGCGTAGCCGGCCCGCTGTCCGCGGAGGATCTCGGCCATGTAGGGCACGATGGAGGCGGCGAGGATGCGCACGATGGCGGAGCCGGTGGTTGCGCGGGGCAGAGGGAGGGTGGTCAGGGTCAGGGGTTGGTTGTGGGCGTGTAGGGTTAGGGCTCTGTGGGTTTCTGGCTTGGGGTCTTGGGGTTGGAGGGCTGTCATGGTTGGGTTTTGTGTTTTGGGGGCTCGGGGTTCGGTGTTTGGATGGGTTGTGGGTGGTGAAGGGGGTTCGGTGGGTGGGATTATGCTGGTGGTGCACCATGTTTATATCCTTCTAAGGGGAGAGTTAAGTCCGTTATCTCCGTGTCTCGGGGGGTATGGGGCTAGTTGTGTCCGCGGTCATTTGCATTCGGGAGAACTGTTGAGGACGGCTGGTGAGAGTCCCGTCTCCTGGTCCGTGAGGTTGGGGATGTCTCGAGGTCTGATGGTTGCTACCTGGTTCTGGACTGCAGTGGGTCGTCGAGTTCGCCCGCTGCAAGTGCGGATGCGGATGCGGATGCGGGGGCGGATGTGGGCGCGGGCGGGCTTCGCTGGAAGATGGAAGATGCTCTGGCTTGCATTGGTAAGATGATTAGTCTATCTTGTCAGATACCTTACCAATCTATGATACGGCATTCCTGCCCCATGGTCAGTATAAGTCACAGGCATTGGGCGAGGACCTGACTGGATCCAGACACCAAAGGCCAGAGCAGATATGTCTAGCATTCGCAACGTCATTGTACTCGGCGTGAGAGACAATCGTCACCCATATCTGGATTTAAACCCTCTACTAGTCCACCACTGACTTTCGTCAAATAGACAACCGGCACAATCGGCCAAGAGATCGTCAAAGCCCTGCTTCCATGAAAGCAGGAAGCCCCAATCTCTTTGTCACGGCTGCCCGACAACGACAACAACAGTCCAAACCCTCCACGGCCCCGTCGTCCTTTCCACCTCACCCCCACCTCAAGGAGGTAGAAGTGGACTACGAGTTCCCTGCCTCGCTCACGCAGGCTCTCGCCGACCAGCACGCCATCGTCGAAGCCTTCAACCCCAGCGCGACCATTCACCAGGAGCGCATCGTGCGCGCCGCCCTCGCCGCGCCCTCAGTCCAGCGCCTCATCACCCCGGACTTCAGCAGCGACACCTTTCACCCGCACGCCAACGGGTCGACCCTGTACTGGACAGCCCTCATCACAGGCCCATTCTTCGATTGGGGTATTGCCCAGGGCATCTTCTGGGTGGACCGCACTATCCGAATGGTGACGGCCTTCGGGTCCGGTGCGCAGCGCGTCAACATGTCCGGGGTCGATATGGTAGGCCGCGCGACGGTGGCCGTGCTGCGCGACCCGGGGCGCTTTCGCGATCGGCCCGCGTACTTTGCGGATTTCACGGTTAGCTCGAAGGAGTTGTTGGGGATCTTGCAAGGAAGGGAGCTGCAGCGGCAGCGGCAGCGGCAGCAGCAGCAGCAGGAGAAGAAGGGGGGCGAGGATGATGGTCGCGCGTGGGCCGCGAATCCTGCGCGTTGGATGGATGGCTGGAGTTGGCCCGGGGGCTCTGGGATCGGGGTCCCGCGGACGGGGTCCAGGATCGGCTCAATACGCGGGCGTATCAGATGCTGGGGACGGATGGGATCTTCGAGGAGGGGAATCGGTATGGCGCAGACGCTGGCGATCGGGTTGAGGCGGGGTTTGGGAAGGATAGGGAGGGGTTCTGGAGGAATGTGTTTAGGGCTGTGGATCGAGGACGATTGGGGTATCAGGGGTATTGCACACTAGGTGCACACAAATAGTTGCTGGGTTCGGTCTTTGTGCACACATTACTTCCTCGAATAAATGATTACATCAGCTTGTACCAGATCCAACTGAAGACAGTGTGGGGATGTGACAGGAGTTTGGCCCAATGGTTCTGTGAGTGAATATAATCGGGCTGGCAGTCTGGTTGAACCAATCCCAGGCCACGCTGATATCATTTCCGGGACGAGCCTTATTGTGTGGGTTCGGTTGTTTCGGTTACAACATGACCTCATCTTGGGTGTTGGGATTCCCCTTCTTGATTTGAGGATCAGTGGAGGGTACATATCTTCTGGTTTGGATTTAACCTTGAATTCTCTTATTCTGGTGCTGCATTTTGGTTTTCGAAGCCGGGATCCAGGGAAAGTCCCTGTCAAGGGACGTGTAACATGTGAGTCAACAATTACTCATTTGTCAGAATAGGTGAGGTGTTAGTACATATGGTTTAAGTGATGATTTATGACATCACAATGAAGTCTGAGTTGTTACACTGTGTAGAAAATCTTGTTGAATGTTGAATGCTATTCACAGCACAGGTTGTTGTCCTAGACCTTTTGTCCTCCGTAACCCCTATATCCACAATATCTTCGTTGCAATGGCAATTATATTTCGGCTGTTTATGGATGAGTTATGGTCAGACGTGAGCCAATTCGCCCTAAGTGCTGCCTCCCACCCGGCACAATTAATAAATACTGATGAGTGGTAGTTGACGTACGGGGACCTGGCTGCCCTGGCTCGTGTCTCGCGAGAGCTCAATGATCTTGTCAATCCTTACCTCTACCACACGGTTCGCTTCCATAGCCCCGGGCACATCGATGCCCACGACAAACTTCTGATGAAGCTGGACACGCTTGCCCACCCCGAATTCGACAAGATGGGGCTCATCAAGCGCGTGATCGTGTCCGGGACCTGGTATTCGACGTATGCCTCGATCGACTCCTGGCTGGCGCCGAGGAGAATCCTATCCCCAGCAGCCCGGTTGCTTAGCAGTCTCCTCTGCAGCTGCGTAGTCCGTATGCCGAACTTGGAGGAATTCGTGTAAGCGAGCACGCTCCACCACATGTCTTGAGGGACTCTTCGATAACCGATGCGAGTGACACACGCCCACAGTTGGGATATGCAGGTCTCCCTCACCCAGTATCTGGTCTCGAATGTCGTCCTGCGGCCGATGCTCCGGAATCTCCAGCTGCGCATGGGCACCGACTGCACCCCCAAGCCCTTCTTCCGACCCCCGCTGAACATGAAGCTCTCGATGAGCCTGACAGTGCTTTCCCTCGTGCAGGTGGACGACGTGGAAGTGATGAGATCGGTGGGAGCGGCGGTGTCGAGCGCGACGAACCTGCGGGAGCTCACGATCTGGGCGGATAATAATTCCGGGATCAGCGTCAGCACCCTATTCGAGAGCTGGCCCACACATCTGGCCTCGCAACTCTACCTGCTGGACCTGCGCGGCTTCGCGGCCCTAGGGGTCACGCCCGCCGACTTCTGGGCCATGCTGCGACCATCCAAACTCACCACCATCACCCTGGACTTCCTCGACCCGGACTCGCTCGCCACCACCGTCCGGAACTTCTGGGACGCCGGGCTCGAGGCGGACTTCCGCCCTGTGCGGCTTACCACCAATCTCCTCGACAGCTCGATCGACGGATTCCTGCGCGCCTTTAGTGGGCTGGAGGTCTTTCATGGCACCCCGATCCGCGGCCAAACGTCTAGTCAGCTGGTGGCCTGTGAGTCGCTCGTGGAGGTGCTGGAGACGCAGCATGGTGCCACCTTGAAGGTGCTGGGTCTGAGCCTGCCGTGCCACGAGGACCGACCCTGCTCCTGCGCAGAGTTGCTGACCCTGATTGCATCGAGGTTTCCGCAACTGGAAGAGCTTCGCATTCGACAAGATAAGGTCGACGTGGTCAGAGAATCTCTCTTTTCTTGCTCTTTTCCCTTTGCCCTTTGCCCTTTGCCCTTTGACGACTCCTCCTCCTCCTCCTCCTCCTCCTCCTCCTCCCTCCAATCTCCCCTCCATCACGATACTCACCAGCTACAGCGTTCATGAAAGCACAGACTGACCAGATTGCATCTCTCCCACCACCCACAGGAAGCCATCAAGTCCGCCCTCTCCCTCCCCCAACTGCAAGTCCTCTACATCGATATCCAAGACGACTTCTCGACGCCCACTTCGGAATTCCTGTCCGTCGCCGAACCTCCCCTGCGCGAGGGCTACGCGAAGGAGCTGCGATACTTCGCCTTTGGCGACGGCACCACGTACGAATACTTGAGGGAGGAGGGCAGTTTTTCGAACACGCCGTCTCTCGTCGGGTATATCCCGGGTACTGTCTTGCTCCATGAGAAGATGTATGACTGGGTCGGGACTGCAGTGTGAAAAGGGGAGGGGGAAAGGAAAACAAAAACAAAACCCAAAAAGGCAAAGAAAATGAGAAAGCAAGAAGAAAGAAATAAAAATGCTACATCCTGTTGGGTAACCCTTTCTGATCTCCCAGCGTTGGTTCTCTCGCCATGCCTCGCGTTGTTCCTTTATTTTTTCCTTCTCAGGCCGCCTCTGGTGTTCCTGTTGATCTGATGTACCACAGCCTTGTAAACTACATCCTAAGTTGAACAATACATTCGGGTAGGATTCCTTGAGAAGCGATATAGATGCAACTTATATATTTGGTTATCTAGTCCAGGTCGAAGCTTCGACGAGGCAGAAACGAGAGTCTCTTCCCGGAAGAGCATAAAAGGCAGGATCAGCATACACTTGACATAACATACACAAGACGGTCTATCGAATGCGGGCTAGACAATACAATCACCACATGGACAAGTGACAACTTTTACCTCGGATTGGAAAAGCTCAGCGTTGCAACGTCCAGTTTATGCGCAAGCAAATGTTTAAGCCGATTTCACAAAGAATCAACACACACTCCCTTACCACTTCCCGCTCGTTGTCTCCTCAACATTCAGTAATTCAGTAAAGCAGTAGCTCCCTCTCCCTTTGCCTGTCCCTTGCATTCTTCCTGTCAGGCATCCCCGCCGCTATTCTATCTTGCTTCATCTCTTCCTCCCTCCGCGTTCCTTTCTCCATTGTTCTACCCTCCAACCATTTCTCCAGTGATAACCCCTCCCCAAGCCCTTCCAGCAAGAAAGGGCATACAGCGACATGAATACAGTATATGGTGTCATCGTAGGCAGTTCTCTCCCCAAGGAAGGGAGCGAGAATCGAAAGAGGAGGGCTAGGACGAAAGCGTAGCCCCTCCTCCTCCCTCCCAAATTAAACCCCCTCAGTCCTATTCAAGCGCTGAATACAGGCCAGGTTCCGCGCCGTCTTCATTTTTGCTGCCGCCGCTGCCGCCGGCCGCGGCCGCGGCGGCAGCCTGCGCCTCCCTCTCACGGATCGGCTTGATCAATTCCTCATCCTCGGGCAGGATGGGCGTCCGGTCGTCCGGGAGCACGGAATCCAGGAGGGAGCGAGTCACATCCTCGGGGTGATGGGCCTGGATGATCTCGACGGCGGCCAAGATGAGCGCCGGGTCGTCGGCGCGCGCCAGCCGGATGAACTGCTCGAGGTACTCCCGGTAGTAGCTGGCCTGCTGCCGCATGTACTCCATGGTGGTCTTCCGGCGCCGGTCGCTGTGCGGGAGCAGGACGCATTCCACCTGGTGGATCCGGCACATGGTGCATGGGACCCCGGATTCATAGGCGGTACACTGTTGGGGGGGTGGAGTTCCCCGGTTGGATCCGGGGGGAGATGTGGTTAGAACAGTAGAGAAGTAATGGAATAACGCGATCAATAGGATAATGAAAGGCAGGGGGAAATTGAAGAAGGGGGGGAAGTTGCTTTTGCATGCAGTGAGGAACTCCTCACGGGGAGTTCTCATCCTCTCTCTCTCTCTCTCTCTCTCTCTCTCTCTCTCTCATCTTGCACCAACAAACAACATTCGAGCCGCGATGGGAAAGGGGGCATTTACCCTGGTGCGTTTCTCTCGACACTTCACGCAGGACGATGGGGACCTTTTGACTGCCTTCTTGGCATTGCCCGGTTGCGAAGGCCCTGGGGGCTCTGGAGGATCGGAAGCCCCCCGTTTCGAGGGCACGAGTGTCGGCTTCGGGGCGAGAGGGCGGTAGGCGGTCGTGGAGCCGGACCCTTGTTGGGCCATGACTTGAGGGGCAACAGGAACTCAAGAACTCACTGGCGAGCTGAGAAAGAAAGGTGGGGTCATACAGGGTCGAAAGGAGGTGGGAGTAGATGAGTGCTTTGTTGTGGTTGTTGTGATTGTTGTTGTGGTGCCGGTAATAGTGCCATGAACAACATTGATAAGCCGCGAGTATTTTTGTTTAGGAGAAACCGGAGATGAAAACTCATGCGCTAACTATGACACGTCGGCGCCGCTGCAAAGTCCTGGAAGGCCTGCCCGCCCCAAAACCTCAGCGGATGCATTTTCCGGTCGCCATTGATTGGCTGACAATCCACCGTCGCCCACTGATGCATGATGGGGAGCCTAAGGCCTCCAGCTATTACCTATTCTATTCAGCCTGGCCCCCTTCTGCACTGCACCCTTGCCTATCATGGACAATGGACAATGAGCAATGAGCAATGGCTCCCCGTGAAACAATAATATGGTGTGACTTTGGGTCAGTAGCTGTGAATTTTATCTCATACCCACGGAAATTGCTAAAGGGGCAAGGAGAAAGAAAAAAAAAAGAAAAAGAAAAATTCAAAAATTCAAAACTCAAAATTCAAAATTGAATCAACCTCCGGATCTTCGGTAATATCGGGAACAGCGCTTCCAGAAGTCCAAGATCGCTGGATCGCTTGTCATGTCGGGTGGTGGTGGTGGTGGTGGTTAATGCCCTGGGGTCAATCAAGGTTATCTGTGATATCACCGTCCTATGCTCTTTACCAGCATGGTATCGGTGCGATATACAGCATTTTCAGAGTTCAACAGGCAGTCGAGTTCTCAGTGTCGTCCTTCAGCATTGCGCACTTAAGAGGGGTTCGAGCATTTGCATTCATCCCTTGTGAACGGAGTGCCTCGGATAGGTGAATTTCTACCCATCAATTCATTCACTCAGCTCCGTCCGTACCCCAATCAGTCATGATGCATGCACCTCTTTGACTCAGAACCAGCTACATAGATTAACCTGCTGATCAGTCAGTCTTTCCGGGTTTCCCTGTTCGATGGATTAACTTTTGTTTTGTGTTTTTGACTTACCCTGCCGTCATGGCTTTCACATTCCTCCCTTCGTAACGCATCCCATATCTGTGGGAGGCGGTTCTGTATCTTGCCCCTTGGTGGGAGGGGATAAGATTCAAACCACTCAATCCTCAATCCGTTCTCTGATCATGTCTTTTGGGTAGACAACAAAAGTCACGAGAAGTATTTCCCGCGGCGATGTGCTGGTTCGGAGCGAGCAAGGAGGCGATGCTGGGGTCTTCGCATGCAGTGGCTCGGCTGAAAAGGGCATTTGCAAAACAAGCCTAGTCGAATCATGCTACAAGGGTGGTAAATCCGTAGCGGAGCCCTGGTTGGACTTGTTGTTGCCAACAGCAAGAAAGAAGATAGGATTATATTTCCAGCGCCAACAAGAGGGGTCTTGCCGAAGAGCGTAGGAGAATGGCGTCACATGTAGTCAGGTTCGTCCTTAGAAGGTGCGTAAGGAAAATAGTGGGGTGAGAAGCAACTTCGGTCTGACCCCGACCGCATGAGCGAACCCAAGGCTCTGTATAGTGTGTCAACGCAAGAATGACATCGATCCCTTGGTTGAAGCACCAGTTTTTCGCCTTTGACTTAAATTTGATATATAATAACATAATCAAATGTGTCTTTCAACAAATCAGCCCGGCTAGCTCAATCGGCAGAGCGTGAGACTCTTAATCTCAAGGTTGCGGGTTCAACCCCCGCGTTGGGCTTTCTCTTTTGCTTTTTTTCCTTCCACTTGTCCACACCCGTGTTCAAGTGGGGCCTTTTCTCTGCTAATTGAGCATCGCGACTGCGACAATAGGTAATCCTGCAATTGACCCTCTTCATAATTACGTTCTACTCCAATCCGGTCACGATTTATCACTGGCCCATACATCTTTGCAGTCCTGACAGATGACAGACAAGACAGGGAGTTGAACCCTCTTATCGGGAAGTACAGGCCACAAAATATATTCTGACATCCAAAATCATTGCGCATGGCCATCTCCCGTGTCCCAATGCCCGTCAGGGCTAGAATACACACCACCTAACATCTACCTCACGTGCTTAGGACACTCAATCTCAATGGCAATACTACTATACTTCCCTCCATCTATTTTAGCTAGGCTCAATGACGATGTTACGAAATGATGCATTGCTCTGTTCGGGCGCCGAAGCATCCTCTACCAACCCGGGAGGAGGTACTTTTTAGTTCATTCTGTCACCCTGTCTTGATTGCTAGTGAGTCATTCATCGCGAGGTGTGGCCTTTTTCCAATGTCGACGGCTTGCAAGCCGAGTCTTGCCGATGCTACTATCACCACTTACATTACCTTCTCAGGTAGGATGTGCAGCCCTTAGCCGGGACTGCCACCCCTTTCCTCTTCGGCTTCTTAGGTAGCATTCTTTATCTCTGCAGCTCAATTCTTCTTTCTGCATGCGATACTCGGGTCCATTGACAGCCTATCTCTGAAGTTCTCATTTTTCTAGTCAGTGCCCATCTGTTTACATTACTCTCTTCAAAGTCATGTTGTCAAGTTGCATATATTCGCAGTAGCTCTTGTGCAACCATGTTTTTCTCCGGTAAACTGATACTATCACACAGGAGCCGGTCCTTGGTCATGACTACGAAAGCATCGATGACCCCTTGGACGGCCTGCTAAAAGGACGAGCTGGAGTCAATCAATCGGTGATCTAAAGATCTATCGAGATCGAAATATTAGCCTTGGGAAAGCATCGTTTCCTGTGATGTAGTCCTTGCATTCTATGTTCGACAGTGACCTTTTTCCTTTCCTAGTAATCTCCCCTTGTCTCCAGGGTCGTCGAGCTAAACATATCGGTCAATAGACTTGGAACCAGAATCTTTCCCCAAACAGGCCTTTGTCTTCCCCAAACAGACCTTTGTCTTCGATGGCCAGTCTCCCAGCAGATTCATTATTTGCTTGTGATGAAGCGGAATATCTCCAATATGTTTTTGTTTCCGTGCGATTCTAACTACTGCCTTGGGTGACTAGTTCCTCCTGTCCTAGGGATTTGGGAAATTCTTCCGTACAATGAGCCTGTGTGCTGGATCCTTTGTCCATATCGAACTTCGCCGGCAATAGGATACATCCATCTATAGAAATGTCTCCTCCGCTTTGGAGAAACTGGAGTCCTCAACTTCGATATCATGGATAATTCCATTTCCGGATCTTTATCGCTGTGAGCACCGTGTGAAGATCTCCATCAAGACTCTTTGAGTGGTACCTTGTCCACAGCAAACATACCGGGATATATCCCACAGAGAAGTTGACCAAACCCATCGCAGTTCTCAACGGAATTGTCTATAAATATGCCCTGTGAAACACTCTATACTCGACTCCCATCTTCCCCACAACCCACCAGACCTGACACAAAGCCAAGTCTACACTAACAACATCCAGCAACTAACCACTCACACAACGACAAAAGCACCCAGTGACAATGGAAGCACCAGGAGCCGCGCCCCCCATCTTCGGCATGCACGAAGACGTCCCGTACGTCATCATGGAAAACAACCCCGCCCAGACGCCCCGTCAGGTCCGGGTCCACACCCTCCTACTCCAGGAGGCGAATCTCCCCCGTGACCGCTGGGTCGGGTTCGCGAAACGCGTGCTCCAGCATTTCTGGAGCCGCGAGCCGCAGGACCATCGGCGCCGCGGCGCGCTGGTCATCTACGAGGACCGCGTGCGGTTCTTCCGCGAGGACTGCTGGGGGATGCACGAGGCGGTCGAGTTCGTATTCGACAATGAGCTCGAGTGGTGGTCGCAATCTCCATACACGCATGTCATGCGCGGGTTCTATATGGCCCTGGAGGTTTGAGTGGAGTTGATCCCAGCCACAGTTCGATCAATTGTGGCTGGGCGTGGGCGTTGAGGTACGGTGAGTATTTTTGTTATCATGCAGAGAAAAGGAAAGCAAAAACGATTAGGAAACGATAATCAAAATTGAGCCCAGGTAGGTCTCCATCTCCTTGGGGGGTGCCTTTGGGCGTTTATTATTATACAATTGCTTATTTTTACATATTATATAGCTTGATAGAGCGTTATGTTGTCATAGGATGGTCTACCTCCATACCTAGGCCTTTATTTTGCAGCTTGGCGTGAGATCCATCCTGTTATTGTAGACGCAACCATTGGAGGATAATCCACTGTGCATCATGGAAGATATTCCTGGATGTTCATCAGATCTTTTATTCGTATTCTCACACGGGTTCTAGAGATCTAGTAGCGAGAGCAAGCACGGCTCATTTTAATGCCGGGAAATAGCGACCTAACAAAAGTCTCTGTGTATGCAAAAGATACCGGGGTGGCTTGTGAGCAGTAGTATTGCTTAACAGACTCAAGTCTATGAGAAGAATAGTCTACATAGTATGCATGATACTTAGAAACCAAATGGACAAGAACCCCACCGCACTTCACCTCGTTTCCCGATGTTTCCGCTAGCCGTCGCCTCAAGTACAGTACCGGGTGCTCAGCCCTATTGATCGAAAGCCTGGTTTTGACACTATTTCCTGCAAATCAGAATTATATGAACCAAGCGATACAAATATCGGTCCCTTGAACATACCATTTGATAATATACGCCTCTTTTCCGGAGCAGCTCCAGATGGCTGCCCTTTTCTAACAGCCGGCCACCCTCCCCCAGCACAAAGATGACGTCTGCATTCTGCACGGTCGCCAACCGATGCGCCACGGCAATCATGGTTCTTCCCTTGCCTGCTCGCTCGAAGGCCGCTTGGACAAGTCGCTCGCTCTCCGAGTCGAGAGCGCTGGTCGCTTCGTCGAGCAGAAACAGCCGGGGATTGCGGATTAGGGCTCGAGCGATGGCCAGGCGCTGCTTCTGCCCGCCGGAGAGAGCAACACCGCGGGACCCGATATTGGTGCTGTAGCCCTCGGGGAGAGACATGATGAAGTCGTGGATCAATGCGTCGCGACTGGCGGTGTGGAGTTGATCGTC